TACCTATTATTATTAGTTTTCGAAAATTCATTGTTAAAACATTCTAACAGCGATGCCACATTTCTATATATTGAAAGCTTTATAAACTTCGAATGAAGTCAATTAAAATTTTTTACATAATTTTTAGGGATGTACCGACTAGTGGCCGACCGATCGGATAAGCCGACTATTCGGCCGTTTTTCATCGTCGGCTGCAGTCGGCGACTAGTCGGCTTTTTATTAAAATTAAAATAGTATATAAAACAATTAAACCCGGTTTACAGAACCTCAATTAAATATTTAATTGCGATTTAATTTTCAACCCCGCGTTAAAGTGTTATGTGACCGACTCTACGCCACTCAGACGTCGCTAATGGCCTTGTTAAATGCGCGATCAACTTAAACTCAGTTAAAATGTTGTATAAACTGGCCCTAAATTGTGTTATTCTTTATTTTTGTACTGAGTTACTAAAAAAAATTGAATGTTAAAATTATCCAAACAAATTTAACACATTTTTTGGAAAACAAAAGAACTTTAGTTATTCCTTTTATTAAAATAGAACAAACCTTTAAGGTAGCCAGAGAAATAGAAAAAAAACACACTGTTTGTCGCATTTATAAACCGGTTTTAGCAAAGCCGAACAGTCGGCCGACTAGTCGGCTTTTATTGGCCGAATAATCGGCTAGTCGGTTAGTCGGCCAGACCAACAGTCGGTACATCTCTAATAATTTTCCCTTATTCACTGTAGTCTGCGCCACTTCATGGTGCCCCGTTAGTGCGCCATTTTTGATACACCGTTACTTATATCAACTTGGATTGGTGCAGTGTAATATAAAAATAACAGTGTTGTATTCCCAAACTTTTCCGGGAAAACGGAGTCAATAAAATAAACTGACTCATTCATTAATTTTTTTGAGTCACCCCGTATAAGCAAATCTAAAAAATATGAATGGAGTGATAAATAACAAGTACAGATTGATCATATTTTGCATATTTTAGGAAGGATTTATTCGGCAAAATGTTGAGATGTCGCAATCAACTTTTTGGGGTTGATAAACAGATACGTTTTGATTAAAAAGTTACCATGCTTACAATAACTTCAAGTCTGCAAGATTCCAAAGTATTCAGTTTTGGAATTCTTGATTTAATCAATAAAATAAATTGACTCGGTCATTAATTTTTTTTAGACACCCCGTATAAGCAAATATAAAAAATATTAATGCAGTGATAAATCACAAGTATACACTCATCATACTTTGCACATTTAAGATAGCATTTCTTCAGCAAAATTTTGGGGTGACGTCATCAATTTTTTAGAGGGGATGAGCAAATACATTTTGATCAAAAATTTACCATGCTTATGATAACTTTAACACATCTCCAAGATTTCAAAGCATTCGGTTTTGTAGTTCCTGACTAAATCAATACAATAAATTCACGCATTCAATATTTTTTTAAGTCATCCTGTATATGCAAATTCAAAAAATATGAATGAAACGGTAAATCACAAGTACAGATTTATTCGGCACACTTTTGAGCTGACGTCATCAATTTTTTGAAAGGGATTAGTAAACGTATTTTGATTAAAAAGCGCTTGGAAGTGGCGCAGTCGGCGCAGTATTCATTTGTAAAATAGCAAATTAGTAAAAAAAAATTATTTGTATCTATCTGTGTGGAGGTTTTTCAGTATAATTTTCATTTTTACGAATCTTATTTTAATTTTTTTATTCCATTTTTAATAGTGCAGCATTTTATATTATTTTTTTTTTATAATATTTAACATTGCACAAAATTGTCAAGATTCATCGAAAATTATAGTTTATTTGCACTCTGAAACTTTAAATTTGCATGATGCTTCATCAAAATTTCAAAGTATTGTGACCCAATTTAAAAGGCTTCCCAAGAGAAAAAGTTAAAAATGAAAGTAGAATCTGTTTTTAGTAGCACTCCCGGTTTAAACACTTTGCATTAATTTTGCGACGGCATGACAGAGCCAAACACTAGAACAAAATACATATGAAAATTTGATCCCATTTTTTAATTAGGGTCCCATAACCAATTGTGACGTGGATCGTTCATGTTCTAAATTGAAAGACTTATTAACCCCCAAAAGAACACGTTTTACAGAGGAAAATCTCGAGCGAGCGCTAGACCTTGAACACACTGCGAAAACTGTGTGCACGGCTATGGATTAAAACGACAGTGGATCTGCGGTAACCACTTTGAGAGTCGATTTTGGGTATTTAAAGTCTGCTGAAAACGAAAAAAATATTAGATTTGCCGAATTGACTCTAGTTTTTGAGATAAATGGATCTTCATTACACGACCTCAGATATGTAATAAATATATGAAATTTATTTTAAGACTGTTATTTTCAAAACAAACTGCTAATATATGTTAGGTATACATTATTATTAATCAAAAGTAAAAATAAAAGAGAAAAAACATGTTTTTTGTAGGATTTTCTACAATATTTCGAATTAAGACACTTTGTTTTTGAGGTTCAACAGTAATCTGTCATCATTTGCGCTTCCATTGGCCTTAGAACCTTTCTTCCACTACCCTTATGTACTGGTGAAAACATTTTCACTGCTATTAGCTGGAATCGCTAAGAATGTTAGGAAATGGGTCCAAATGGCTAAACAACAAATGAATTTTTAATGCTCATGTTAATTCCTAATTTTTCAAATATTTATCTAGGATATTGGCAACGCAATGGCGATACTCTATTGTTTTATGATTCTCCTAGAAATTTTTCACCGCTAAGATAAAGCTGTAATAAAAAAACAGAAAGATTTGATGGGAAATGTTTGAAAATAACATTTTTGGATGAATTTTCGTGAAGAGCTATATCTTGGGAACTAGTCATTTCAAATGTTCTGATCACACAACATATTACTACAACAATAGCAGTAACTGAAAGTACAATCAAAGCTAATACCGCATAAAATTTGATTTTTTTTTTGTTCCCCTGTGTAATAACTGTAAACCATCTGCAAGATTTCAAAGCTTTCGGTTTTACAGATTCAAAATTAAATTGCAAAATGTTTTATAATTTTGATTTTTTTTTTTTTTTAAATCTGGACGTTTCGGGTAAAAACTCAATACGCAGTCGTAAATTACATGTGTAGGACTTTGTTATTTCATACAATTTAAAACCCATTTACTATGTGCAATTTTAAAGTGACTTCATCACATTATTGGTGGGGATGATTAGGCACATTTTGGTTAAATATAAAATTTGACAACAATCGGCCCAGTACTGTCGGAGATTATCTGTCTAATGAAAATCTGTGACGGCAGACAGGCGAACAGAAGGACAGACGCACAGACGGACAGACACACAGACAGACGAAAACGAGGGACCTATTTCTTCGTACTGTAAGGGCCATGAAAAGTCGAGAAAACGTAAAAGTAGAGAGTCGGCCGACGAACTCGATCACTTACGCTCAGGAAATAATAAAAAATGTCCTCATATGGATTTACTGCGCACAAATAATATATTAAATTTTTTGTCCGACCTATTTTTATACTTATACTAATCTTACAATTTCAAACCCTACGAAATTATAACTTGGTATCGAGTACGTTGCTTTAAACAATTTTGCAGTAGGCGTTGCGTTAAGGCATTTGCCAGGAAGGAAGAACGTCAAAATCGGGCCACTATTCACATCTGACTTTGAATCAAATTTTCCACCAAACTATATTACACTTAAAGAAACTAAAAAAGCCATTAAGTAGAAAGACCAGATGTTTGTCTTTAAAACAAAGTTACGAAAAACTTCATGAAATTGTTTTGCAATATTTTTTTTTGCGTTCTGACGAATGTTTGGTCCTTGCCACAACGATTTTACATTGGTTATTGGAACAAAAATAAGAGCAACTTAGAATGCTACTACCTTTTTACAAGAAATGTTGAAAATGTTGTCCTTGACCAGCAATAGAGGCGTCCGAGCGTTGCAAGAGGTTTGTTGATAGGTAAAAAAACACCGGAGTAGCGGCTGCCACTTTCACTTGTTGAAGCTCTTTGATAATTTCTGGACGCTGTTGATTTCCACAAACTAACTGTTTCATCCAACCGATACACATTTATCGAAAACCATCTCTTGAAATCGTACTTGTTGACGAGCATGTGGAGTTTCATCGGACAAAAAGTGAGTTACACAACGTGGACAATCAGCGGGCTCCAAACCCTGCACTTAGTCAACATGGTATGGATGTGGCCGCGTTCTTTTAATGTAGGATGCACTACTAGCTGTGAAAATCCAACTTCTTCTTTCTGTGCTATCACGGCCACGATCGTGAGTTTGAGGTTGAAAATATCATCATCTCGGAGATGCTGTACCACTGATGCACACCAATTACTATATCGACACACTGCATGGGAAAACTGCACCATAACCCGATTTCACCGACCGCTCGATGATGACTAGCCCTTTTCGTTTTTCACGTTGCGATTAAAAAAATGCCTGACAAAGTCACTTTTTTGGTTCTTAATTCGAGTCGCTCGGTCCCATTCATCGTAGTAATTATGTAGGTCACGAAACATTACCAGCGACGCGTATAACAATTTACATTTAATTTCAAATAATTTTTTCTAGACACTGCTACCACTTAGGACACTGCTACCACTTAGGACCGTGAATTTTACCCAGTGACATAATCATATTGTGAGCTATTCCCCATTTTTTTTGCATGTATTTCGCAATCACCTTGTATAATGTATGCAAAACATGATTTGTTTTTGCACACTGCCTTCATTTTAACACCAAATACCATACGATGTTATTTGTAAATGCCAAAAAAAAAAACAAGTATTTGCATAAATTATATTCCGTCTGAAAATGATGTAACGCATTCCAAAATTTTATTGAATTCCTTCTTTAAAAAAAAAAGCTTAATGAAATTAAATTTATGTTTTGAACAGTAATTGGTATATATCTAATAAACTCTACACAAATTCTTACAAGAAATGTATCAACGAAAAAAACAAATAAACTTCAGATTTCTGTTACTTTACCTCAACTGTTGAACAATTCCCTGGGCTTTTCCTAAATGAGATGCTGCATGATCCGCGTTTATGTCTTTAATACCACAAGCTTGGAGTATTAAATAGTAAGCACTGGAAACAGATAGCTCCAAATATTTTTCCATCTCATCTAAGGTTTTAAAACCGTTGACACCAAAATATTCTCTTCTAGAATTTAAAAGATTTTTCAAATTTCGTTTAGACAATCCATAGTTATGTACAGCCTAAAACATAAAAAAATGTAGTGATTTACACAAAATTTCTCTGGTTTTTGAAGCACAATAATGCATGTACCTATACCAAGAATTTTTCTTTTAAGATGTCTCATAATTTTAAAATGTCATCAACTTTTCAAATGTGACAAACCAATTGATTTTTAATACATACATGTAATATTAACCATACAGTAGCTGTGTTTCCAGAATTTTATAGAAATTAGATCAGCCATTTGTAAAATAATGGACAACGATAACATAACTCGATCCACTCGATTAATAGTTTAAAACATCTCGGTAAATAGTTCAAACAATAACTAATTAATAAGCAACAAATATTGCGTCTCTGGATGAATTTTTCATTAGACGTAATATTTGTTCGGAATAATGTCATTAAAGTTTTATTTCTAATAAATACTTGGCGTTTGATACAGACAATACTGTACTATTAAGTACAGTGACAATGTTTCTTTTATGTACAATAAAATTTCATGATGGTTTGAGCCCGTTCGCAGCGGTTCATACCTCCCATAAATTGCAATTTTAAAACCGAGCAGGTAGAAGACCAGTAATCCGAGCGGTTCTTAACTGCCCTTCTTCTGGTTGAATAAAGGCCCCAAGCCGGTGGGATACTCATCAGTGGGTGAACAACTTAGCCTATCCCTCGTAATGACATTGTAAAATTTTATTGTACTCAAATGGAACGTTGTTACAGTAATAACACTGTTACCATGTTATTAAATTTTCAGTGGAACTAGATGAACTTTAGAAGCAATCGATCACTCAATACCTTTATTTTATTACACAGGGTGATTCACGAGAAATAATGAGCCTGAAAAAATTTTTGCTGCAACCAACATTACTTTGCAGGGCTTACTTCACTACATTTCTTTTAAAACTCATAGTTTGAATCCACGATGCTCATGAATCATTGTCATTGTCATTTTTTGACAAATTAAAAATTTATTACGATTTGTGCAAAATGTATACCTATTCAAATGATGAGAAGACAGATTTTAGTGCATGGAGAATGTGTGAAAAATGCATCCCTTGCTGCACGTGTATAAGCCCAGCGATACCCCGCAAGAAGAGCGCCTGCTGACACGAATTTTAAAAGACTGGAGAATCAATTGAGCGCTAATTGACCTTCTGTTAAGGGTCCCCGCTTGACGCGTACAAAATCGGTTCCAGTGAGAAGAATTATTTTTTGTAACTATGCAACCCAAACTACCAACCCACCGCAGGTACCGACCCAAGAGAGCAGAGATTATGGTCACTGTAGGGAGTCCGTCATAAAATGCAAATTTGTAAACAACACCAGATAAGCTTATTTATTTCCAAATGAAGAATACAGGGGAATAACGATCGAAGTCCATTTCGCACTGTGAGAACAATACTCACGTAACTCAAAACCAGCGTGTTTTGAGTAATGATGATTTAAAATTCCCAAGTTTTTATATATTATTTGTATCTTAAATACCAAAGGCTTCGAAATACATTATAGTCGTATTGTCAATCTATTATTAATCGTGTTTTTATTCCTTTAGAGTAGAACCTTCTACTCGTTATAGAAAACAAGAAATTTTGACTTACGTGACTATTGCACTGCTACACCATATCAAATATTTTGGCTTGCGTGTTAATAAATTTAAGACAAGAGCAAACTAGCAGCACATTGTAATGAAAAAAATATAACAAAACACAAAACGATCACAGTATTAATTCATTAAACATCTACACTGGTCGGCAAAAAAAACCGGCCACCCTGAAAAATTTCCCAAACTACTTTAAAACTTATTAATTTAACTAGTGTTCGTTATTTTATTAAAGAATCATTCACTATTGACACATGTTGTACAAATTAGCACAAAAAAGAAGACTATTAAACGCAGAATTAAATTTAATTTAACAAAATAACAGAAACAGACCAAGTACGATATTTTCTTTAAAAAAACAATAAAGGAGGCTGTTGTTGTAAATAGTGTTTTTCATCATTTAATTATAATAGTCTAAGAGCCAGTGGCCGGCTACCTGTATGTAATTGACCAGACCTCGAATTTTGTACAGAGAGTCTCCTCGATCCAACATACAAGGGGCGGGGACTCACTAAGCCCAGCGCGGCTGGCGCAGCTGGGGCTCAGGTACGCCAGGTATCAAAAAATGACTAATTTTAAATGCATTTGACCATGTCTGCCATTTATAAATTTTAAAATATATCTTTATTTTTATTAAAAAGTAACCATGGCAGACCATTATCACGCGTCTAACATCGTGGCAGACAATTTTGAAAGTGCGAAAAAATATAAAATTTTCAAATTAATTTTGACCAAGTCTGATATTAACATATTTTGTTTCTTGTAGTCTTAGAATATTATATTTATCACGGCAGACGTTTTTATTGAGTATACACTTCAGCAGATAACAAAATCATTGACGCATTATATCTTACATTTATTTCATCTGCTTGTAATTAAATTTATTGTTGTTTTTAAAAATTGATATTTCTGTAGGAATTCACATATCGTATCCGATAACTCCTGTACCTCTAGCTTTATGTCATTTAGATGGTAGTATTTGTAAAACTGTCAAAAAAACAAATATTGATCAGGAACCACCTCACAATACAGATGCATTTTTAATTTATAGGTTTTTCATTCTTCACTCTATGAAAGAAGTACCAAAAATATTATAATAATATTAATAATAATAATAATAATAATATTTATTTGTCCAACAGGTTAACATAATGAACCTAATTAGAGGACAAAAATTATGAAATATTTCCAAAAAATTTTTGCAGATGATAACCAAATATCCAGCACGAAGAATCGACGTAATTTTCGACCAATATTTGCATCCATCTAAGTATAAAAGAAAATGAAAGAAGTCTACGACATGAAGCATGGTTAATTGATTTCACAACTTCTGGGCCTGACCAGGTACGACCATCAGGTTTTACAAAAGTGATAAAAAATACGAAATTTAAAGAAGCTCTCATTGATTTCTTTATTAAAAATTGGTGTAGTGATGAACTGGTATGTATCATTTGTCGGTAATCAACTGATACATTTGAACTTTCGAAACTGTCATTCTTATTGAACTGTTAATGATATTATACAATCAAATATCAATTTTTAAAAACAACAATAAATTTAATTTCAAGCAGATGAAATAAAGATATAATGCGTCATTTTTATATATCTGCTCGGGTAGTCGTTAAGATTTTGTTATCTGCTGAAGTGTATAGGTACTCAATAAAAACGTCTGCCGTGATAAATATAATATTTTAAGACTACAATCAACAAAATAGATTAATGGCAGACTTGGTCAAAATTAGTTTGAAAATTTTATATTTTTTTGGCACTTTCAAAATTGTCTGCCACGATGTTAGACGCGTGATAATGGTCTGCCATGGTTATTTTTTAATAAAAATAAACATATATTTTATAATTTCCAAATGGCAGACATGGTCAAATGCATTTAAAATTAGTCATTTTTTGATACCTGGAGTACCTGAGCTCCAGCTACGCCAGCCGCTTTGGGCTTAGTGAGTCCTCAGTCCTTGTATCTTGGATCGAGGAGACTCTCTGTACAAAATTCGAGGTCTGGTCAATTACATACAGGTAGCCGGCCACTGGCTCTTAGACTATAAGTTTGGCAATTAATGAACGTTTTCACGCGAAAATAATTCCGTTAACTCTTACAGACGTCTTTCAAAGTGTCGCTCTGTTTCTGTTATTTTGTTAAAATTTTTAAAAAATTCAAGATGTCGGACGGTGAAGACGTGTTGCCGTCTGCTCTGCAAGATAAAGCCGGTAGTACATACTGTAAAGTGTGCAAATCCTATGTAAACAAAAATGTGAATAAAGTTAAATGCAAGTTGTGTCCTGTGACTCTACATGGTAGCTGTTTTGAGACATTGTGTAAGATATTTTTTATCTCTGGTAACAAGGAGAGCTGGGTGTGCAAAAACTGTACCGCCATCAATGTAGACGTAAATACGAGTGAGTTGAGTAGAGAAAATCTATATAATTTTGTTGAAGCCTTTACTAAACCGCTGATGGATGAAATCAAGAAACTGAGGGAAGAAGTCTTCATCCTTAAAAAAAGCAATATTCAACTTCTTCACCTTTATACCCCTAAATTTGTTACTAAGGACAAAATTACACACCAAGTTCGAGATGTCAATACAAGCAACTCTCCTCATATTATTACATCAGTTCCTCTGGCAGATGATATCGCTGCCCCTTTAACCAGTACTAGCCTGAAAGATAACAGCACAATCGTCAACCTCGGTGTTAGCGATAAGATTAATAATAAAAATCTAAGTAAAAAAGATACTAAAACAATGAAGACGCATAAAGAGTGTTCCGAAATAATTAAACCCAATGATCAGTTAGAGATGAATAAGTTAAACGAAACTCCATTCACACTAGTGACTCACAGGAAAAATATAAAACAACGTGAACAGCCTACTCAACGCAGAAAAAGTCTTCTCATTGGTAGCGGAAACACCACAAGTACAACTCTCAAAAGTGTTCCCAAAATGGCGTATTTTCATGTGTCCCGTTTGGAGCCGAGTACTACTGAAGAGAGTATTGTTGAATTATTAAGAAAATATGTTAGTCAAGTGCAATGTGAAAAGTTGAATTCTAAAATGCCTAACATCTATGCTTCATTTAAGATAACTATTCCTCTAAATGAAAAAGATAAAATTATTAATCCGGAATTGTGGCCAAACGGTATTACCGTGAATAGGTTTTTTTTCAGAGCACCCCCAACCCAGCACGAAACTTAACACCGAAGAGAAATAATGTCACCATCTCTATTGCTGTACAAAATGTTTGGGGGCTTAACACCAAAGTTCATACTTTTTATCCCAACGTGACATCCTCTGATGACGATGTAATTTTGTTAAGTGAGTCTTGGTTATCTGATGATGTACTTTCCAGCGAATATTTCAGCTCACGGTTTCAAGTATATCGATACAATAAGGGCAGTAGAGGACG